GGGCCCTAACTAACCTTTTACACTCCATTAGGATCCTCAGAATATTTTCTAACATCCCCATTCTAGTTTAATGGTCCACACCCATGCTTTCCTTTGTCATAGAACCTATCACACAGAACTAGCGCTTTTGCATTATGTGTTTTATAATCTACCACACTGAATGCTCATTTCCTCTTTACTTCTATTATACTGTAAGTTTCTTGGGGGCAGGAACTATATTTTGTTTAGTTACATATTCACAGTAACCATCAAAATATCTAACTGTAAAAGGTATTCGATGAATGCTTGAATGAATGAATGAATGAATGAATCACAAGTTAAATGCTACATTCTTATTTCTGCCATTGGGTTATTCTAGAGAGACTGTATCTCATTCCAAACCTTTCTCTTTTTTTTTACTCAGTTTACCTTAACTACAGTCTAACAGAACAGGGTTTAAAAATGCTTACCTACCCTAAAAGGCATTATTTTCTTAAAAGATCAATATAAATTATTTCTCCCATACTGTCAGATCACTGATGTTGTGTGATCGATTTTGTGACTGTTTCTGTACAATTCTTATTCTTCTACTTGATTCCATTACTTCCTTCATCCCTCAACCATAATTAGTGTGACTATAATTCTCCCGTAAGAACCTCCAGCAATGTTTCTTAATCTTTTTTTTCAGATTCAGAGAGCTATGGAGTCTTTTTTTTTTTTTTTTTTTTTTTTTGCGGTACGCAGGCCTCTCACTGTTGCGGTTTCTCCCGTTGCGCAGCACAGGCTCCGGACGCGCAGGCTCAGCGGCCATGGCTCACGGGCCCAGTCGCTCCCGTGGCACGTGGGATCTTCCCGGACCGGGGCACGAACCCATGGTCCCTGCATCGGCAGGTGGACTCTCAACCACTGCGCCAGCAGGGAAGCCCAGCTATGGAGTCTTTATCCCAAAAAATGTCCATCCACTCCAAATTCAATATATTATGATTCTATTTTATCAAGCCCCAGAGTAACATTAATTAGGTCAGAGAGTAGTTTCCTGTGAGGGGGGCTGGCGACGGCAGGGAGGAGGAGACGGCTCCGGCAACGCTGGGATGATACTCTACCTACTGATCTCAGTGCTGTTCACACTGCTGTGCTCCCCTTTGCGAAAATTCATTGAGCCGTATCGTTATCACTTATGCACTTCTCTGTATATTTGTTTTTTAATATTCATTATGGTGGAAAACATTGGTAATTACTGTCAGAGTTGACAACTTTCCGGACCCTGGTTAAAAGCTGACTAGAGCAACAACTGTCCTTCTCTTACAGTATCTGTTAAAGACGCAGAAAAAGGATTAACTTGGGGCGGGGGAAGAGGGCGATGGTGGTTGGAGGCAGGGCGGGGAGTGCATAACTCTCCCATCATCACTCTTATTTACCTAGTACAAGCAAATAACAATCGTGCGATATTCTTTGCTGTGGATAGTTTATACTTTTCTGATCTAATACAGTGTCAATGAAATCATCGCTAGAAAAACAAAACAAACCTCCAATGCCTATCAATGATGAGCAAGAAAAAAATCTGCTCCGTAAAATCTTCCTAGCAAATCCTACCCTGCTTCTCTTCTATTTTTTCACCCTCATCTCTGTATCCTGTGATTATTCTGATCATGGGGCCAGGCTTCTCCATCCTGGTTCTGACCAACGGTGGGTTTTACCTACTTGGGAGAAGACAGGAGGCAGATGTTGCGAGCCCACCAGTGGACCTTTTCATCACAGACCACTACCAGAATATAAACATGAGACTTGGGTCAGTTATCAGGCTGGAGCCGTAGAATTGGGGGTATTAGCCCACACATCTGATACCCAAACTTACCACCCCACATTTCCAAAAACAGACATCTGGGGTTAGGAAAACAGTCGATTAAGAGTACACGAGTACAGTACAAAGACTGAGTCTTCATAAACTGTCTTCCTCTTTCATCTCAAGTCCACAACCACAGCTCGGATCCAAATATCATTGGCGGCGCCCATTCTATGTCTCCTTGACTGGGTCTTCACCCTGCCTCAGTTTGATGTACAGACTGAACACACACCCTAATCAGAACCTATCAGCTCTCAGAGCGGAGGTAATCTAGTTATTGAAAATACACAGGTCATCGAAGTCACTCAAAACCTCATGGTGAGAGAGAACAGAGTAACTGTAATCAAATACTTATTAACAAATATTTTCTGAGTATCTAATATTCTCAGGCAATTTTCTAGGCACAAAGGACTTTACATTCATTGAGCTTACATTCACTTGAGCAAGAAAAATTAGTCATATTTTCTGAACTCCAAATGGCAAAACTCAATGCAACTCTCTTTGCTACTTAGGGAAAAAAACATAATTTTTTTTTTTTTTTTTTGGCTGCACTGGGTCTTTGTTGCTACGCACAGGCTTTCTCTAGTTGCAGAAAGCAGGGGCTACTCTTCATTTCAGTGCGTGGGCTTCTCATTGCGGTGGCTTCTCTTGTTGCGGAGCATGGGCTCTAGGATGCTTGGGCTTCAGGAGTTGCAGCATGCAACCTCAGTAGTTGTGGCGCACGGGTTTAATTGCTCCATGGCATGTGGGATCTTCCTGGACCAGGGATTGAACCCGTGTCCCCTACATTAGCAGGCAGATTCTTAACCACTGCACCACAAAAGAAGTCCCAATAACAGATAATTTTATTTTTTTCTTTTTGTTTCTCCCAACTCACTAGCATATATACAAATCACCATGAATTGTTTTCACAATAAACAAAAACATTAAGGGTTTCTTTATTAAAAAAAAAAAACACCTGGTAAATGGAGAGAGGTGACTTTCAAAGTAGAAACAAAGACAAACATTTGTGAAAGATGTAGAAGACTGAGTGCATTCGGTACAGGATCAGACGTAAGGTCACCACTGAATTTTGCTTCAGCGCTATCCCTCGGCAAACCCTGCTCCTCTGTTACTGTCTACATCAGCCTTCCTTCTTTCCATTCCTAATGCGTAAAGATCTCACTTTCTCTTCAACTGGAGATGATTCTCTACATATTCATGTTTTATTGCATAATTATAAGGTATTACATTGTAGATTAGGACATTGAATAAATAAAAAAATAAGAACAAGCGAAGCAGTGGTCCACAACCCTAACCTGGCTTTTCTAAACTCATGAATATTTTTGCCATTTCCATTGTAAAGCCTTTCTGTTAAAAATACAGTTAATAGGAACCATGTTTAGGCACCTATGTCCAATTAGTTTAACTGGGTAGGGTTTGGATTTAATGAGATTTATTCCAAGACTTTAATTCCCGCACGAAGCAGTTAGCTTCACTCATCTCCCTGTTAGGGACTCTATCTTCACCCCAGCCAGCCACGTCCCTAAGCATCAGACTATGCATCACGGCAAACAGTGTTATTACAACTCAAAACTCAACAACAAATACACTTTCCTCTTAAACATCTTCATATATGGACAAATGGATGCTAGATAAATCATATAAATCTTCTTGGAAGATTTCCGTAAGATTACTTATAAATGTGTTAAGAAATATAAGAAATGATTATTTCGAAATTAGGGCAAAAATAATGGCACCCGTTCCCAAATCTGGCGATGTACAATACTTTCAAATGCAAGGAAACATGCTGGATGTTACATTTCTTACTAGTGGCCAGCCCAATCCAATAAAATTAATCACTACAGAAATCTAGTTTTTCATAGGCATTCTAGACGGTTCTTATGATCAAGGAAAAGTTGGGAAGTAGCAGTTGGGAACAGCTCTGGTTCATATAATTATGTTCATGAGCTACACCCACCACAAAGAGAAAAAGCACTCAGTACCAGATTGCTGGCCACTAAGCAGACTATAGGCACGAAACAAACAGCCCCCAATTCATATCTTGCCCACGTGGCCATCATGCTCCTCTCTGAAGCAACAGGCCCAGACACTTCTATACACATACTTGAGTATTTTTTCACACACTGTCCATGTCACATCTTCGAGAATACAGTCAGAGGAATCCATAAAGTTTAAAAATAAAGATGCACAAAATGTTACGAATTTTAATTGTCTTCCTAGCTGTCACTGTGGCTATATTCTTTGACAGTGCATCCAAACATGCCCAATCTCATGCCTTCCTCCTATGGGCAACCAGCTGCTTTCAAAAAAACAGCTCCAATATTAAAAATGTGAAGTAAAAGTTTTGATGCCATAAAGATGTAGTTTACATCATTTCAAAATACATGTATTTAAACTCACAGCAACAGTATGCTGCATCAAATATTTTTATTTTTTGCAGCAAGGAGGTGATTTCTCAAACTATAAACATTTCAGTACATTTAATAACACATATGGTAGAAGCAAAACTAAATTTCATAGCTAGTCTACTTATATCTAGACTATAAATTCTTGTGTTTGCCAAGAGGATGAACTATACACATGCTGGCAATGAGCTAGATTTAAACTGTGCTTTCATCAAACGTATTCTCACATCTAAAAATAGCTCACCATGCAAAGATCAGGAAAACCAGAGAGCACAGATAACAAATCATTAAGAAATAAATTATTTAGCTCTTAAAAATATATGTATGCATAACTCAGAAGTAAGTTAAATTATACTGAGTTTTACTCAATGCTAATATAAAAATCTTGAACCTTCTACAGCAGTATATATCTTTTATGAGATCAGTTTGTATTCCTTTAAACTGTTTGAATAAAAACTCAAATTACCATTATTCTAGTCAATGTTCAAAGTCCTCACAAATATCGGTATTTGATAATGCTCCTTCATGAGACTTTGAAATAGTAGAATGTTTTTTTTATTTTAAATAAGAATAAGATTGACCTATTTCTACTAGCAGATACCATTCAAAGCAAAGAGATAAGACAACGTGGTTAAGCAGCTCTCTCCCTGAGGTGGTTTTCTGTAAAAAGAATTTGAAGGAAAATGAACAGTCACCACTTACTAAGAAGAGAAAAAAACAAGCTCAAGAGCAGAACTGATATAACAGACACTGGCTGAAAGAAAGCATACCTTTCCCTCTCTCCTTCCGTGACGTCATATAAGCGGTTGGCACCTCCATCAGCACAGGCTCTTAAAAGAGCTTCAAAAAGAAAAAAACAAAGAATATTTCAATATCGGAAGCTTATAGCAGTATCTTTCAAAGGCTGAACGTTAAAAGGCACTCAGACACACACACGCACACACACACACTCACGCTCCCCTCCTTGGATCATTTCACATTCAGCCCGTGACACTGCTGGTACTGAAAACGATCCTACACATCACAAACACAAGCGAGACAGAATCACCTAAGACAAAGCGTATTTCCTTTTTCCATCTTTTCCAATTCCCCTTCTTAAATGAAGGAGAAGACTGTATATGATGTCTGCAGTAACTCTTAAAGCTTGTTTTTCCTTCTTTATAACAGAAGGTAGGCCTCAGGCTCAAAAACAGGTAACAGGACATAGCTTATAACTTTGCTCCCTTATTTTATTGATTGATTGATTGATTGATTGATTGCTGCCTTGGGTCTTCATTGCTGCCTGTGGGTTTTCTCTAGTTGCACTGCGTGGGCTTCTTTTTATGGTGGCTTCTCTTGTTGTGGAGCATGGGCTCTAGGTGCGCAGGCTTCAGTAGTTGCAGCACGCAGACTCAGTAGTTGTGGCTTGTGGGCTCTAGAGCACAGGGTCAGTAGTTGCGGCACACTGGCTTAGTTGCTCCGCGGCATGTGGGATCCTCCCGGACCAGGGATCAAACCCCTGTCCCCTGCACTGGCAGGCAGATTCTTAACCACTGTGCCACCAGGCAAGTCCCTTGCTCCCTTATGTTATTAATTTTTATAGAAAATTTCTATTTATGGCAGGTATTAAGGGTTTCCATATTTTACTGTGATATGAAAGATTTCTTTAAAAAATAAATTATAAGCATAACATCATAAGTTTATTTTAAAGTGTGAAGTAACTAATAATCTAGATATATGTGACTGTAAAAATTGAGAAGTTGGTACAAAATTGACTGAAACTTGGGAAGCACTAAGATAATCAGATAAGGCAAAAGAGCCCCAGCTGCCTCTCTAACGGGGCCTTTTTATCTCTTGGCTTACTGTGCTTTTCCCCTAGTATCACCCTAGGATTTGATGCTGCTGGTCAATCATTCCTTGAAATTTTCTTAGTCCATGGTCTACTATTTTTGTCGTTGTTACTTCTCTAATTTCTAATTTTCCTAGAAATGGTCAGTATCTTAGCATCAAATTCATCCCTTTATTTTAAAAAAAAATAGCCTTTACCTAATAGTTTCAAATCAAACTTTTTTTTTTTTTTTAAATCCTGGGCGATATAAGAGTGAATGCTGAGATGTCTAAGATTCTAATTCCTCACCCTGAACAGACCAAAGCCTTGCCTCTGTCCCCACATAGCTGTTAAAACCAATCATTAGGTTATAAAAATCAGCAAAGACCTTGGACACCAGCAGTTTCAGAAGAAATAAACTATAATTGGCCCTCCATATCCAAAGGTTCCAAATTTGGTCCCCTGCTGAATCTGTGGAAGGAGGCTGAATTCCTGGATTGCACCATTTTATATTAGTGACTTGAGCATCTGCGGATTTTGGTATCTCAGGGGCTCCCGGAACCAATCTCCCACGGATACCGAGAGACACCTGCATTTTTTTGAGTGACTTCTTCATTTTATTGCACTTATGAAATCACCTTCCCTTTTTGCAAATTTAGCTACACATTTAAAAGAGTGTTTATAAAATCCACCTCCAAATTTCTAGGTGTTTAATAACAGGCGGAATATTGGAAAAGATAGCTAACTGACCGTACTGGCATGAGTAAAGGTCCCAAAGAATTTTCCACTAATCAATGATATACGGGAAATAGTTTTCTGTGTCCTATATTATATCAGAAATAAAACAGAGGCCAAGTGGGAAAAAAAAAAAAAGAAATTCCTTTTTTGCTTCAGCTTCAACTGTAAATGGTAATAGTATCACCTTTGACAGAGTTATTAAGCAATTAATGACTTAATAATTATAATAGTGCTCATCACAATACTGGAACGTAGTAAGCATTCAACATACTAAAGCATTCATTAGTCCTCTTCCTCCATTCCTGTTAGAATGAAAATAAAGTCTAAAAAGCATTGTTTTTCTAGAAAAGAAAAGCCTAAGGTCCTTAAAATGTGCAAAACAAAAATAAGAGTTTTTACAAGATATCTAAGAGGGACATCTCATTTTACCCATTACTGACAACACATATTTCCCTTTAAGGAAAGGGACCCAAATTCAAATTATACCACAAACATAACCTGCAGAAGATCATAAAATATTCTGCATATTTCCTAAATACCAAAAAGTAAAAGTTCAAAAACATCAAAAGCTAAATGGAGAGATAATCTCACATACAAAAGATGCTGTAGAACAAATGAATAGGGAGATGGAAAAGACTGACAAATAGAAACAGACGGTAAACTGTAATTACCCTCAGAGTATATAAAACATTTCTCTGTAAACAAAATTAACAGGTCTATTGTATCTTTTCATGTAAGATCTTTTTATGTAAAATTGATTCACTGAAGTAAAATGAAAATCTAGAAGTAGTGGCCAAGGATTATCAAATAGAATGACTTGTCCTGTTTTCACACTATATTATTTTACAAATATCAGTTGAATTCAACATTTATACCTATCACGTGGCAGGCCCTAAACAGAATAGAAAGATGAATAACAGAAAGAACTAGCTCTCCAGACTCACACTATTGTGGAAAAAGGAGAAAGAGAAGCACATATATACATTGCACTGTAGATATCGATGAGGGCTATGACAGAAGCAATGAAACACGATGGGAGGACTGGGACAGGAGACATTAATTTCAGTGGACAAATCTGTAAAACTGTGTATTATTAACTCTAGTTCAGCTAAAATCAGTGTTACTTTGATAAAATCCAAAATTGCTTTCTCCTGCCTGTTATTTCTCATACCCAGACTTAAATTGGTATTTTTAGAGCAGTTTAATAAAAGAGAAATACCTAAGTCTTAGGAGGTAAATTTGTCCACATCTATTCCTGTTTTAAATGGCTAAAAGAGTTAAAATAACCGTGATGAAATCTGTGGACCACTCTTTCATTACCTAGAAGCTGGGATTGTGGTGCAATCCATCTGAAAGAAAAAACAAGCTCCAGTCTTTCCCT